TGGTATGGGCGGCAAAACAGACACACAGACCAGAGGAGTAAATCCAGAAGTAAACCTATGTTTATATGGGCAAATAATTTTCAACAAAAAAGCCAAAAATATATAGTGGAGAAAGGAAAGCCTCTTCAATAAATGGCGCTGGGAACACTGAAAAGCCACCTACAAAAGAATGAAACTAGACTGTTGTCTATCACTACACACTAAAATTAACTCAAAATATATTAAAGACCTGAATATAAGACCTGAAACAAAATGCATAGAAGAAAATATAAGGACTAAACTCATGGACCTTGTACTTAAAGAGGATTTTATGAATTTGACCTCAAAGGCAAGGGAAGCAAAAGCAAAAATAAATGAATGGGACTACGACAAACTAAAAAGCTTCTGCTCAGCAAAAGAAACTGTCAACAAGGTAAAGAGACAACCACCCGAATGGGAAAAAATATTTGCAAGCAACGCCTCTGATAAGGGCCTAATATCCAAAATATACAAAGAACTCATAAGACTCAATAACGACAAAAAAACAAACGATCCAGTTAAAAAATGGGCAGAGGACCTGAACAGACACTTCTCCCTAAAGGACATACAAATGGCCAATAAATATTTGAGAAGATGCTCAACATCGCTAGCTATTAGGGAAATGCAAATTAAAACCACAATGAGCTACTATCTCATACCTGTTAGAAAAGCTGTTGTCAACAGGACAAGTAATAACAAGTGTTGGAGAGGATGTGGAGAAAAAGGAACACTCACACACTGCTGGTGGGACTGCAAATTGGTACAGACATTATGGAAAGTGGTAAGGAAGATTCCTCAAAAGACTAAGAATTGATCTACCATATGATCCAGCAATCCCTCTACTGGATATTTACTCCAAAGACTTCAAAACACATATCCGAAAAGATATTTGCACACTGATGTTCATAGTAGCACTATTCATGGTGGCCAGGACATGGAAGCAACCGAAGTGTCCTACAGCAGATGACTGGATAAAGAAGCTGTAGTGCACATATACAATGGAAACTGTGTACCATTCCATTGAAGAAGAGATGAAATCCTGCCATTTGCTACAACTTGGATGGACCCCGAGATAATCAAGCTAAGCAAAATAAGCCAGACAGGAAAAGTTGAAAACCACATGATATCACTTATATGTGGGATATAAACCTAAAAGCAGAGGGGAGGTAGAAGGGGGGGAAAAAAATTTTAATCATTTCTTCAATTAAATAAATAAATAATTTTGAAAAAAATCTGTCAGCCTATTGCAATGTATGGATGGACCTTATTTGGATACTGATGTGAATAAAATTAAATATAAATATTGATAGGGGAAAAAATTGATAAAACTTGAAGAATTTGCTTTTATGAGTTTATTTCCTAGTAAATCACCTTTCCTTTTAAAAAAAATGAAATTTTTATAACATATTTGGAAGATTATGCTGTCGACTCATGAAATTTCCATTTACCAGCCTCATATTTCTATAGCATTAAAATATGTGGCGGATTAACTCACAGAATCTGGCACCAGTATGCCATAGGATGATCTGTGATGCTGTGTCTTTCAAGAATGTCTGAATGTAATTTTAATGAAATGTGCTTTATTTCAGTAAATTTAATCTAAATGCTCCTTTTTTAAAAAAGAGATATTTTAAGAAAATTAACACACAGATTTTGTGTTTTTGTATTAAGAATTATGTTTCATGAAAGAGAATACTGATTATTTTATAAACAATAAATATCACAAAATATTCTATAAAAAAATAAAAAATAAAAATAAAAATAAACCTAAAAGCAACAAACAAACAGGACAAACAAACTGAGACTCATGAACATGGACAATAGACTAGTGGTTACCAGAAAAGGGGGAGGGGGAGGTAGACAGGGAAAAGGGGTCAAATATGTGGTGACAAAAAGAAATCTTAACCAATGTCACCATAATAAAAATCAATGAATTTTAAAAAAACACCCAATCGGTGAGTGGAAAAAGACAATTAAGTTGCATCTGGTGGCAGGCTTTATGGTGGCAAGTGAGTTGAGGTACTTCAATTACACAGCTGCATCTGGTGGCATCTGATTCCGCATTATAGTGAGTTCTATACTTATTTCATTATATATTACAATATAATAATAATAAAGTGCACAATAAAGGTAATGCACTTGAATCATCCCGAAATCACCACCGCCACCACCATTCCTGCCTGGGTCCATGAAAAACTTGTCTTCCATGAAACCGGTCCCTGGTGCCAAAAAGGTTGGAGACAGGTGCCTTAAAACACAAAAAAGCCCTAGTTACTAAGCCCAATGGATAAATGACCTGGCCACCAGTCCTTTGCTGAACTCTGTATAACCAATGGAGGTCATCTGAACCAGTAAAGTCTCGTCCCTGTTTCCCACTATGATTCCGAGAGTCACTTACTGCACGAGTTCTCTGTTTTATACTCTGGAAGAATCTATCCTTACCATCAGCACTCTACTAAGACCCAGCCAAGTGAACTGCAAATAAGGGATAATCTGTCTGGTACAAAACTTTCTATTTTCAAGATCTTATAGACTGTATTAACAGGAAAGGAGAAAACCAACAAGGAGATACCATCCAGTGAGAAATTCTGCACTGTGTTTTAATCATGGGTTGCAGTCAGTAGAAAAGATTAAATAGTAAAACTGTTCAAAAGTCACACTGATATGTGACAATTTATGCATGTAAAAAAATGCTATCTAAGGAAAAGAAAAATCTGCAGAACATATAAAGCAGCCTGCTTAACAGGCTGATGGGGAGGGGGTCCCTATGGAATCAGACTTATTTCTTTGTTTTTTAAGACAGGAGAACAAAGAATGTTAATAGATAACTAAAGCTATTGCCACTGGCTCACCAACAGCTTTAAAAGTGGAGCTACCTCAGGTCATTTTTAGTTTGTGAAATGTTAGTAAGTATTCCACAAAAACAAGATTTTGCCATATTTTACTGTAAAATGAAATGAAATTATTATTTAGGGCCACGTACGTTGGTTGCTTAGACTCCCTAGATTTATATGTACAGATATGGGAAAATATTCAAAATGTTTTTAGTTAAAATAGAAGTTGTAAAAAAAAAAAAAAAAGGAGGAAAGAAGTGTTCTAAGAGATATTTATTCAGTCATTTTCAAGAACGCAGAGAGTTACAAAGTAAAAAATGATGATTAGAAAGTTGCCCTTTGAGTTACCATCTTCGAATATGCCAGTTTTTCAAGAACAATCTTATAATGGATAAAGTAGTAAATCTCAATCACAAAAGTATTTTTCAAATTGAATAAAGAATATAAATATAAGTTTTTCCTAAATTGCTTTCTGCCCACCCTCCCCAAAAAAAGTTTCCTTAAATACACTGCCAGGGGGCGGTTCCTATCACAAAGATTGATAAAGGACTAAGTGATGAAAAAAACCAAGTATAGAGAAAAAAAATCCTCAAAACCTTTACCAATTTTCACCTACTAATAGTCCTTAGCATATATAAACTGCTAACAAAGCAGAAGGCAAAATTCATCACTTTTCGAAAAAATTCCACTCTCAACAGCCAAATACCCCAATAAAATCCACTGTGAACTAATGCTAATTTCTGCTTCTGTGAACTACTGCTAATTTCTGAGCATTATCATTATCTATATTATTACTGACCATTCTGATAAACAAACTCTACAAACCTCTTTTCTAAATTTCAAAAGCATAAGTTTCATAAAGACTATGAGCCTTTTTTCTGCCTTGAATATTTATTTCCTTTTAGTTTTCTTTATTAGAGTTTCTAATATATAGTAGTTTTACCTATTTTTATTTATCTTTTTGGTTATGTTTTCTTCATTTGAGATCAGAGGACAATACTTATGATAAAAAATGTCCTTTTAATTCTTTAAAATACATATACATAAAAAATAAAGAATTGGGGAAATAAAAATACCACGAAACTATAAAGGTTAAATACTGAAACATCATCAGCAGTAAAACATTTTTCCATAATACAAATGTTAATAAGTCACATAAAACTGTACATAACATAAAGCATTGTTTATAAGAATTTCCTCCTTCACTGAAGCACATGCTCTAATTCAACTTGCTAAAAAAATGTTAAAATGTTAAAAATGTTTCTTGTTGAAGTTTCCAGAAAGATTTTTACTTGACAAAGTTTATTAGGGTTCCAGGAAAGAAAGCAGACCACCAATGGTAAATTCTCATCTGGAAAGAGTCTGAAAAAGAAGCTATTTATTTAAAAACAACGACAAAAACAAAAAGAAATGGAGAAGAGGACAAAGTAAAGCAACTTTTTCAAAAAGCCAAAAATATTTCTTCTACTAGCAACTAAATCATGTGCTATACTTTATAAAGCCTTCCATTATCAACTGAAAAAAGAGAGACAGACACAAGAGTTTCTGCCAACTCTTATTGCAGTTAACAATAAAAATCAAATTACCCAAATGCATTCCAGTCACTATACTTTTACTATAATACTGCTATTGTGGTGCAATAATTTGGTACAAGAAATAAATTTAAAGGTATGGGCTTCATGTGAAATAAAGGAGAAAAACAAAAAACAAGTATAATTATGAATTACCTCTTTATCAAGATATGACAATACTGACTCTGTCTCATTGAGAAGGGCAACACTGCATTTTCCCCTGTTGAAAGAGGGGAAGAGTGAACAAATAAATGTCAGAAAGGCTACTTCACCTTCACAGTGATGACATATACAAAATATACAAAATAAGGAACATTTAAAATGTAAAGTATTAAGAAACCAAATGGCAGTTAGGAATATATATAAATGTATATATACTTAGGCTGGCTTTACTATCCTGGTATTGTAATCCTAAAACTTACCTGTCTTTGTAGATGTTTTTTGGGAGGTTAATCTGTGGAAGGAATGGTGTGAAGAAGTAAACCTTTATAACATAAAACACTTTATAGGTATTTTCTAATTATTCAAGGAAAAAAAAGAGTACGATGAAACCTTCAGATTAAGACAGTTTCCAAGTCTACAAAGAATAAATACGAGGTGATTTTATATTTTTCATACAGAGACATTATGCAAACTATGAAAACCAGTGCCTAAAATAATCTTCAGATTTTTAAAGAAGCCACTGCATATGAGAACCAAAAAATAATACACATTCATATCAGATTAACTAACTTACCTTTATCGAAATTGCTTCAAAGACTAGTTAAAATTTAAACACAAGGAACTTCTACAGAGCAAGGGGCAAACTGAAAATCTACAAGCTCACAGACCTTGAAGTCTGATGGCATTTACCTTTGATCCTAAGCCCTAGGCGTGAGTTTGAAAATGACTGTCTATACAAAAAAAAAAGGCTTCCCTAGGCTTAAGAAAAATTAAGGTTACCCAGGTAGAAGTATTTATTAAAAGCACTTTTAAAATGATCCTCACTAGCTTGAAGATTCAATACAGCTACAAATTTGACAGAAGAATTTTGTTGGATTGTTCGAGTTATAAATATTGGTCACAGCTCACAGAATATTTTCTAAATGTCATAACATCATCTGATTTTCTAAACAAAGCTCATTACTGTTTCCCACAAAATACCAAGCAAAACAAACACATCACGTATACATTAAATAGAAAGCTAAAAAAGCAGTTGCTGCTGAATTATCAGTGAAAAACAATTCAAAGGAAAAAAATTACAGTTCTCTCAACATTTTGCAATGTTTTTTTCCTTAAATTAAAAATAAAATTTCCTTAAAAAAAAAAAAAATTTCCTCTCAGAAAATCACCTTACGTTAATGTCACTTCAAAAATTTCTCTGAGAACATGTGGTATTTCTCTATTATCCTGTCAAATCTCTATTTAGGTTACCAAGAGTTACAAAGGTTTTGTTTTTATAATATATTTTATTCATATATGTTACTAGAGTTTTTCTAAAGGGCGGAGCAAAAGTTGCTAAATGTTATTTTAATAGATACCACTTAATAAACAGCCAGGGCCACACCCCAAAACATAGATATCACTTTCTTTAATAGTCACTTGAATTTTAAGGGTTAACAGACGCTGAAAATTCATATAAACAATATAGCATACTTAAAGTCTCTATACTGTCTGAAATGACGAGAATTTAAGCTGAATCATTAAACTATTATGTTCATAATTATATTAGGAGATAAAACACTAGTTATACTGTTTTAGAGGCACATGATTAAAAAAAATCAATAGGATATGTTAGCCAATCTAAAATATAAATTATTTTTGAGAATACAGGTTTTATGGAAAGATGAAAGGATAATAGGGAATTTTAGTTTTTAAATTATCTTTATGGTAGCTATATTGTAGTTCTTCTCAAATTAGAAATAAAAATCCAAAACTTAAAATGTCCATATATATATACATATATATGCACACGCACACACATACATACATACATATATACATACATATAAACAGCTAACAGCTAACAAAGTAGGAGGCTGAGTCAGGATTATTTTATGAAGTTAATATAAATATGTAATTAACACATGAACCACATGCCCAGAGTTGTTGATAAAAAATAGTTTTAAAGAGATTTAAAGTGTTGTCTTCCTTAATACCAAACAAATGCTGGCTCAGAGATAAACACACACAATAAATTTTAAGCTAACCCCAAACAAAGAAACTATTATCAAACTCTGAATAAAGATAACCTGATTGATTTATGCTGAATCCTAAGCAATGATCCTAATTATTCTCTTCCGCAATACCTTAATCCTAATAAGATACCCAAACATGATGATTTAAAACATGTCAAAGACCAAATACAAAGAAAGATCATTCCAGGCTGATATAATTATTCATTCTGCTTTTCTACAGATCATTCAAAAAGTTCTTAACAACATACTGTTTCAAAGACTGTGCTGGATGCTGGGACAGAGACATGAATAAATAATTACAACACAACACAGTCCCATGTTTAATGGCAGGTGCTGATCAGCTTATTTGCTTAACACGATGTCCAGCATAATCTCATAGACTCAAAAACCATATGTAAAAACGTACATACAGGTTATATATTTATTTTATCTAAAGATGTTACCAATTCGTATTAGCAAGAAAAGAGAAAGTTTAAATTAGCATCCCTTTCCACACTGCCTGCAGTTTCACACAACTGCAGCTTGTAAAATGGTTCAGGACCACCATCCCTATTTGGAAAAATGCAAATTTCTTAGTGCTACACCAGACTGATTGAATCCAAGTATCTTGGGTGAAGGATAAAAGAATCCACATGTTTGACAAGCACCACTAGGTGATCCTTAGGCTCACTGAATTTGGAATGCCAGCGCTACAGATGCAGACTCTGACTTTACACTGTCCTTGTTCAAAGAAAGCCATTATTTTTTCATCAAAAAAAGGCATTTTTCTCATTGGCCTTATGAGTCTTATATTTGCTCTAGATTCTAAAGATTTTTTCATATAAAAACCATGTTAGGTTCTGTGACTGGAAATTCAACAAATAGTTTTATACAGCATTTCATCCACTGAATACAATGAACAACGAAATTAAAAAAAAAAAAATGAAGTTCAGAGACCCAAAATGCTTTCAGAAAATTACAACTCTCAACAGCAACACTGTAAGATAGGACAAAAGATTCAAAATTCTGAAGGAAATTATTTCCAAACCAGAACTATATGCCTAAACAAATCTCCAGCCAACTGTGAAAAACATTTTCAGATAATCAAGGACTAAAAGTTTCTTTACATTTTAGGTGACTAATCGAAAAGAAAAGGCAAAACAATCATTATACTCCAAGAAAAACAAAAGATTGTACGAGAAGATTATGTGAGGGAATATTTACATGTTCATAAAATACAAAGACTGATTATTAAGTTAAAAGTTGTGATATACTGGAAACAGGCAAGAGAAGAGAAAGTGAAGAGATTTCTAAAATTGAAAAATTAATAGCAGCAGTATAAAAACGGTAAACACGCAGAAGCCACTGTCAGAGAAGTTGAAAATGACTGCAGAAGGGAAACTAAGCATATGATTGCTCAGTATTATTAGACAGCTATACATATACATATATATTTTTTTTTTAAATAAAATTTAAAGTAAAAGGAGGGATCCTAATTAGATAAAGTGCACAAATTCGTGTGAATACAATACATACTAAGGGGGCAAGGATGATTTATGATGACTCTATGTCCGGTTTTCTCAACCTTGGCCTTATTAACATTTGGAACCAGATAATTCTTTGCTGTGGGGGCTGTTCTGGACATGTAGGATGTTTAGTAGCATTTCTGGCCTCTACACACCTAGTGGTGACTACCCAAACTGTCCAGACTTTGCCAAATGTTGTCCCCCAGGAGACAACACTGCCCCTGGATAAAAACCACTGTGTTACATTATAGAGTTGTTGAACCATGGTTTTCTTAACTATAGCTTAGTAACAAACATTTAAGGACTGCCTATGTAATTGAAAGAACATGATTTTATGATTCTTTGAATTATAAAAAGGAGAACAAAGAAGAGAAAGGAATCTGGAAACCTTTAAACATTCTATTCAAAGATATATTTCCTGTTAATATTGCTTTAACAGATATTAAGAAGTGAAAATTAAAAAAAGAGTCCCCCCTCACTCCAACCCCCTCCTCCCCCCAAAAAACTGGAATACCTGTTTTAGTAGGTAAGGTGGAGGAATGAAAAGCAAAGAAGAGAAGTTCGGGCTTAATGTAGATTTTGTGAAGAAAAATGACAAGGAGTGTTTTGGAAAGATCATTATGTCTATGGCATGTGGAGAGTACCAAAAGAACAAGACTTTAATCCATGATTCCGGAGATTTGATAACAAATATGAAAAAAAAACTGTCAAAGATTAATTCGAGAGGGGAAAAAAATCTTTTTCTTGGTGCCACTTTTCCCTTTTATAGCTATGAGAAACTGAAATATCCAAAAGGCAGGAAGTATTAGGAGGTTCCTATTCTCAAGAACAGGATGACAAACAAATTGTTTTGATTACCAGGAAAATCTCAGGCATTCCCACAATCAAGTGGAACACCAGTACTCGGGACAACATGTAGGATATACGTTCATCTAGCCTAGAGCTCTTCTGCATTGTGATTTGAGTTGGAGAAGGAAATATGTCAATTTGATAGGGATGAACTGATCATTTCAAAGGAAAACTTATAAATACATTTCAAGAAAAAGTGTGCTAAACATGTAGACTTTAAAATGTTAAACTGTAATATGATTTTTCTCCACTTACTGTATTTTTTCTCTAATTCTCCTACTAGCAATCTTATAAACCTAGAGCACACTGAGTAATTAACTTCTATATGTTAAATTCACTTAAGTAGCTCTATTTATAGTCAGCAGTAGTGCCCTTTTGGCTAATTCAAATTTTGTTTACAAAAACCAAGAAAACTGCCTTTATTAGAATTTTTTAAAAAGATTTGATTACAAATAAGTTTTTTAACATTAATAGTCAACTAGAGACTACTAAATTCAACTTGAGTACTATTTTATTACATACTTAAAAGTTAGCATTACTATCTTTTTTAAAATTGTTTTTTAAAATTGTTTTCTCTGAAGATAACAAAAAAGTTCTCAACAGACAAATCATAAATTAAATTTACAAATTATAAATCCTTTCATTTGAATCTCCTTGCTTTGATCAACACAGAAATATGAAGGAAGAAA